TGGGAGACAGAGGTTACAGCCTCATCTGAGGCCTTACTCTGCCCACCACCCTCTTCCCCCTCCCAAATAATTCTAGAGGGCCACAGTCATGCTAGAACTTGACATCTGAATTTCAAATTACAAGGTAAAAGATAAAAGGAGTTGGGGGCAGATGGTTTGGGGAGTTTAGACAATGGGTTAAATGTGCAAGGCTGTCTGAGGCTGTGACTGCCATTGTAGAAGTCCAACAGCAGAGTCTCACCAGAATGGTGTCATGGCTGATGGGGGAGTTTTGGAGAGTATGAAAGACACACAGACATGGGAATGAGCTGGTGGTGAGCTGGAGCAATAGCCTAGGATTATCTTGTACAGAGTCCTGGAGAGAAGGCAGAGACAACAGGTCGTTCTTAGATAGGGTAAGGGGATTGTTAATTGCCAGACTTCAATTTAACACAGAGATCATGAGCCTCAGAACACACAGGAGTGTCCTGGGGAGTGTCAGTACCCTGACTACTGAGAGAGAGAGTGTTTTGTGGCCAGATGCTGTGGGCCCAAGCCTCAAGCACCCACTCACTGACCCTCCTTCACTGCAGTGCCAACAGGAGTGACTCTAAGCCCCGGGTCTCCAGCCACCCCCAGACTCAACACCGGTCCTACCCCCGAGTTCTCCCCTCTCCCTCTGCTTCCTGTCACAACAGCTCCATTTCCAAGCACATGAGTGCATGTGCTCTGGAGCCAGGGCCCAGCTCTCATTCACACTAATTTTGGAAGTACTCAGGTTTGACTCTCTCCTTTTTAGAAACCCATTTCAGAAAGAGGGAACCCGGCTGTTAACTGTAAGGAGACTGTTCTGCCCACTGTCCATCTCTAGCTTGCTCAGGGCTGATTGACATCCAGGGACTTGAATTCCTGGGGGAAGGATTTGGACCTCAAATCGGAGTGAGAGGCAAGAGGGGGGAAGGCTGTCTTCCCATTATGCCACAGCACTGGCAGGGGCCACAATCCCCTTCTGTGCCCAGAGCCGGGAGCACTGCCCTGGGCACTCTCCTTCCAGCCACCATATACTCCTGATGTACCTATTTCTGCCCGTTGTCAGACCATATACCATGATTTCCGTCCACTCAATGAGTAGAAGGCCCCAGGGCACTTTGGTTTGAAAACTGGATGCATTTGATGAGGCTCTGCTAAAGCACTCAGAAGCAGAGCCCCTTTCTTATTGTCTCCTGGGGGTAGATTTTGGCTTCTGTAACCCAGGACACTCTAAAAGGAGACAGAGAAATTGGGTATTTGGAGGCTACCATGCTCATCTTGGATGTGGGTGTACATTATGTAACAATCACCCAGAGGAGAGCATTAGTGGGGGTGGAAGGTGGAGCACAGATCCCAAACATCTCTGGGTTGCCAAAAATGCTCAAATAACTGCCACCCCCAGTGGTATTAGGACTCAGAGCGCTGTTGGGGGGAACCCACAGCTCTGATCGCAGTGCTCTCCAGGGTGTTCAAGTCTGAATGACTGGAGCATGGGGCAGATGGGAAGAGAGGAGGAGAGGATTCAGGATGTCTGGCACTGGTGGCAGAAGCATGGAGAAGAGACGGTGGTGGTGGTGCTAGGGATGGGAGAGGTGGTTGTACGGGCAGAGACTAGTTAGGGGGTATTCACATGGAACCGAGGCAACAGCAGGGATGGATTAAATCAATGGTCTTCAAAGTGGGTGTGTAGGCTGATCCACTGGTGTGTAAAAGAAAAACTAAAGCCTCTATTTATATTTATGTTTTAGACTCAAAATAAAGAAATTAAGATTCACCTATATTTACTAGGTGGATTGACACAGGCGCCCTAACTCATCCCTTGCTTCAGATGTCTATGTCATGTATCATAGTTAAGGTGTCCTCAGAGAAGAGGGGGGGTTCTACTCCCCAGGGGAGGGGGTGACTATTGCACCTTCACTGGTTCAGTTGCTTTCAAGTGAATCACTAGGTATTATGAATTATTTGTATCCTTGGTGGTAGAAAGATAGATTATATCATCAAATCATCATTTAACTAAGCTAATTCTCACAAAAGGGACAAGTGGCTTGAGAAGCTTACTGCAAAGAAATCCACAGACTGAAAATAACATGAATAGTGCAAGCAAAATCAAACTCAGAAAAATGGCAGAGCTAACAATTTCCTACTACTCATATGAGATCCATTATGAGGATATCTCTGAGAAGGGAGTAGACCAGAAAGAAGTTCAAAGTTATGAAAGAGACTACTTGGAATATGGATCTACATCCCTGTAGTTAACAACTAACCTAAGGGTATACTGGGCTTTGGGGTATTGGCTAATAATAATATAAATGTGCCATTCATAATCAGCAAGATGTGTGAATTCTACACAACCAGAGCGTGAAGACAAATCTCTACAATTTTTGAGGGGGAATATTCCAAGTCCTGCAGTACTTAGTTGTGTACTTTTGTGAGCTATTATTAAATGCAATAAACATGTCTAAAAATCTCTTTTGAGCAAAATCCCTTTTACTTAATAGTAAAAGGCAAAATGTCAGTGTCATTGGAAAAAACCTCTGTTCTATTTGCCATTGTTAAGGTGATGGCATTAGTACAGAGAGGAGAAGGTGATACAAAAAAATGCATCCTGTTGAAAGACACACAGAAAACACTGTTGAAGATTTGAAGAAAAGGTTTGGAGGACATGATGTGTGTGCACATTGCTGACATGTTGCCCCTTACCCCTTTGCCATACTTTTCAATGATGGCATTCATAAAGAAATACTTTTTGTAATCTACTAAAGGAAAGACGTTTACAATATGAATGGTTTGTAACATGCTGTGGGTTTTTTTTCTTTTAAAGATTATTTATTCATTTGAGAGAGAGAGAGAGAGCACGAGCAGGGGGAGGGGCAGAGGGAGAGAATCCTCAAGCAGACTCCCCACTGAGCCCAGAGCCAGACACAGGGCTCTATCCCAGGACCCTGAGATCATGACCTGAGCCAAAATCAAGAGTCGGACGCTAAACTGACTGAGCCACCCAGGCGCCCCAACATGCTATGGTTTTTATGTGTAAAAGGAACCACTGATGGAGTGGCTTCCCTAACTGGAATACAAAACTGGGAACTGGGAACAGGGAGGGACTACACATGAAACCCATCTACTGCATCATTCATTCACAAATTACAATTTCTTTATTGTAATTGAAGGTGGAAGAGCACAAAATACTATAGGATGTCAATAATATGGCTAATTTGAACAAAATCTTAAAATACAGTAGAATCTTTACAATACTTTGTAATGAAATGTGGAATGAGACTATGAAATCATTCATATTACTCAAAGGTTTACTGATTATCTGAAGGCAAAGAACTTAAACACTGTGGAATTTAAAGATGAGTTTAACAAAAAGACCAAGGATTCCAAATTTGCTGACCTCTGATGTGCTGGCTTGTGATCGTCACAGATACATGCATACACACCTATATAAAGGTGATATTTTCTCAATGAATATAATTGTGTTTTAAAAGAATTATGTTATAGGGAAAGACTTTTGAAAACTGATGTTTGGAACTGTTTCCATTATCATGTAATTTTAATGCCAAAATAGGTGTGTCATTGTCACCTATATAGACTGTGCTACTGGGTGTTGTATGTAAGTGATGAATCACTGAATTCTACTCCTGAAACCAATATTGTACTCTATGTTAACTGGAATTTAAGTAAAGAAAAAAAGTAAAATAGAATATATATGTAGTCACATTAATTAATGGGGCTCCTGGGTAGCACAGTGGGCTAAGCTTCGGACTCTTGGTTTCGGCTGGGGGTTGTGATTTCAGGGTTGTGAAACATGCTTGGGTTTCTTTCTCCCTCTCCCTCTGCCCACCCCCTCTAATAAATAAATAAATAGTCTTAAAAAATAGACTGTGCTAGCTATAGACTTCATAATTAAGAAATACACTTTTAAATCCATTTTACAATCTCCCAAATGAAGAGTTTCAAGAGTTTAAGAAATCCCATTGTTATGAATATTCACAAAAATAACTGATGAAAACATCATGAGAACATGGGTTTCACGGACAAAGAAGAGCTTTCTGGTGGAATTTCATATTTGCAAAATTGGTAGATGGGATTTAAACAAGAATTATGATTTACTAAGTGTAGTCAAAGATAGAATTCTCCCATTTGGGTCTACTTATCTTTGCGAGATATCTTTTTTTTGCTGGGCGGGGGGGTGGGCAACATCAGCCATTAGGACTAAGTATTGACATTAACCAAACTTAAAAGCATACTTTGTAGTTTCATAAAATATTAAACTAAGATTTATTAAAACCATTTTTAATCATGTTGCTCTCCCTAAACAGACTTTTGCAAATAACTTTAAAGTGAAAGGTAAAAGGGATATTGTGCCATTCATTAAAAATGAAGTATTACCGGGGCGCCTGGGTGGCTCAGTCGTTAGGCGACTGCCTTCAGCTCAGGTCGTGATCCCAGGGTCCTGGGATCCAGCCGGCATCCGGCTCCCTGCTCCTCAGGAAGCCTGCTTCTCCCTCTCCCACTCCCCCTGCTTGTGTTCCCTTTCTCGCTGTGTCTCTCTCTGTCAAATAAATAAAATCTTAAAAAAAAATGAAGTATTATCTTAACCACATCCTTTGACATCCATTTTAGGTATGCTTTATAATATATAGTATATTAATACAATTGCATGTGCATATCATTTATAAATAAGTAAATTGTAAATACCAGGCTGTGAGGTAGAAGGAATAAAACTTGGTGCTTAAAGGATGCCACTATGTGACAGCAGTTGGCACAGGGAAGACACAGTGGGTGCTCACTAATGACTGGTTCCACTTCCTCCCTTAGTGACAAATTTGATGTGAGAAGTGAAAAGGAGAGAGTCAAGGAAGGCTCCCCAGTATGGCCTGGAGTGGAAGGTGGTGCTATCCTTCCCTAAGACTGGAAACACAGGAGCAGGAGCAAGTCCTGGCACGTTCCTGGGAGGAAATCAGGAGTTTGAGTTTGGGACTACAAACCTCCAGTGGAGATGGCCCCCAGGAAGCTGGATATACCACCTGCAGCTCTAGAGGACGTCCTGGGTTGGAGGTGAGGTTCAAAAGTCGTTAGCAGGCAGGAGGTTGTTGAAACCACAAGACTGGGTAGGCCCGCAAATGACAGAGGAGACAGGCTGCGGTGCGACCTGGAGGAACACCACAATGAAAAGCCTGGCGTTGGAGGCTGAGAAGGTGTAGTCACCAAGGTATGCAGGAAATTAGGAGAGAAAGCGGCGGGCGCCAACTCTGGAAACTTTTGTACTCCAAGCGATCCAGGAAGGAAGGCGTGGTCAGCAGGTTCAAACGCTGGGGAGAAGCGAGTAAGGGGCTACAAGGCACCCGCTGGATTTAGCAACTAGGAGGTCAGTCGGGACTTGGAGGGGCGGGTGTATAAGCTGCAGAGCAGGGGGTTGGAGGAGTGAGTATGTGAGTGTGAGCGCGTGTGTGTTTGTGTGCGTGCGTGTGTGTGCGCGTGCTGGGAGGGGCAGGAAGGTGATCCAAGGGACCAGGCTGACGCCCAGCAGATGCTTGCCGGTCCGTTCAGCTACAGGGAGTAAGTCACCTGTTTGGGGGCCGTGACCCCAGACTCTCACCTTGGGAAACGTCCTGGCGAGGGAGGAGAGGGAGGAAACTCGAGCAAGTCGGAACACGGCGGCAAGCGCTCTCGGGCCCCGCGGGTGGCAGCGGAGGCGAGTTCCGAGGAGCCCGGCTGGAGCCTGACCCCGGGCTGCGGCGGGCGCGCTTCCGGCCGGCCGGGGGACAGGGCGGCCGCCGCGCCCCTGGCGCTCTCAAGTTTCCTGTTGGCAGCGCCGCCCGGGCGCCCCAGGTAGCGGCGGGCAGGCCTGGTTGGCGGGTGGCGGGCAGGCAGACCTGCGCGGCTGCGGCGGCCCGGCCCGCGCCCCCCTGCTGCCCGCTGGTCGCTTCTCGGCTCCGCGCCCAGGTAGGGCACCGACCGGGGCGGCGCGCGGCTGGCGGGCTTCTTCCGTGAGGAGGCGGTTCTCCTCCTCCCGCCCGGCAGGCCGGGGGGCTCGGGGGTGCTGAGGTGCGGGCGCTCCGGCGCCGCGGCGCTGCGCTCGCAGATCGCTCGGTCCCCGCCCCCGCCGCCGGCTACGCCGCCGGCTACACCGCCGGCTCCAGCTGAGCCGGCCGGGGGGCGCGGCCTGGCCCGGGCCGGGCCCCGGCTGGCTGCGGTGCGGGGCAGCCCCTCCGCGGCGCTTGCCGTGCGCCCTGCCCCGCGCCGCCAACTGCCCTCCAGCCCCGCGGGTCGCCCCCTTCGGACCCACGACAGGGCCCTGGCCTCGGAACCCGATGAGTGCGCGCGATGCTGCGAGGCTGACCTTGGGCCCGCGCCCCGCGGCCCCTGCTGCCCAGGACGGGAGCCGGAGCCCCCGGAGGTCGGAACCTCGGCTCTGGGTTTCGCAGGCCGGCCTGGCGGCGGCGCCGACCCTGAACTCAGCCCTGCCCGGGCCCTTGCCTGTGCTCCTGCCGCTGTCTCTGCGGTGGCCTGGGCTGCAGAGACCTTAGGTGAGCCAGCCTCATCTCAGCTCCCTGGTGGCCTACTTTGGATTCGAGAGGTTTAGAGAAATTGAGGGACCCGGGACATGCTGTCACTTAAGCTCCCGGACAAGTTTCTAGGTGTTTGACGACCAGCCGGATACCCACAGCTGGGGTGGGCTTCCACCTAAAGGCAGGGGGATGGACAGGATGACAGGGTGTGGGTTCATTCGAGGCCTTCATCCTTACCTCTTTGGCTCTCTCCCAGCATGGGAGGTGTACTGGCCTCTGGAAGTCTGCATTCTGCCCTTGAACTTCCTGGTAGCTGCTTTGCCAGTGGAGCTCCTAATGGCTCAGCTCGGCTGGCAGACGCCTCTGGGGGAAGTTTTGAGAGACCCTGGAGTAGGAGAGGCTTGCTAACTACAGTGTCATTTCCCCAAACTGTTAGATCCTTGTATGTGTCTGGAAGCTTAGGTGTGACAAATTAGCAAAGGAGCCAGGTGAAAGCTGGAAGGAAGGAATTTTAGCATGGTCTTGAGCCCATGTTGGCTATCCCCCTTGACGTGGTGACCAACAATTGGTCAGCTTCAGGGAAAAGCTGATGGTGGCTGGAGCCCTCATGGGAGAAACCTCCCCTGGCTGTGAAGCATCTTTGCTGAGTGGTAGTTGAGCTACTGAGCCAGGAAGACAGAGCTCCTATCAGCTCTCACCTCTCCAAGTGTTGGCAGCAGGTTTGGAGTAATAAGCCTGGGCTGGCTACTCCTCTGGGTGAAACTCTGAGGGGCTGGCTTGCTGTGAAGATGATGGAACCGGGCTGCCCTGTTTAAGAATCATGGAGTTTGCAGGGATGGGTTCCTGGGAGACTCTTGGACCTCTTGGCCCCACCCTCAGCACACCCTCAGTCCTTCTGAGATCCTAGATGAGGATCAAAAATTTCTTTGTGAGATGAGGCCTGTTTTTCTGGTGACACTAGGTGAATAGCTCTTTTTTTTTTTTTTAAATTTTATTTATTTGACAGAGACACAGCAAGAGAGGGAACACGAGCAGGGGGAGTGGGGAGGGAGAAGCAGGCTTCCCGCAGAGCAGGGAGCCCGATGTGGGGCTCGATCCATGACCTGAGCCAAAGGCAGATGCTTAACAACTGAGCAACCCAGGCGCCCCGGTGAATACCTCTTCACATGGCCTCAAAATCATACCCAGATCTTTTTTTTTTTTTTTAAATCATACCCAGAATCCTGAAAATATCATGGGCAGATAAAATATACCCTTGGGATTAAGCAGGGAGATACCTTTTCTCCCCTAAAGCTCATTGGCCTTCCTGGTTCTTCCCCCAAATATATTAATCTCTTAGATCTTCTGAGTGCTGGCTGCATATTAAGGAGAGGAGACCTTGTCTTTGGGCTCTGATATATAAGGGGCCTAGGGCATAGAAAGATGGGCTCATGGCTAGAACACTGGCCATGCAAAGTCAGCAAGAAGTATCAATCATAGAGGAGAAGGCTGTTTCTCCTGATCTGGTTTCACATTTAAACATGGTTTCCTTCTCTTTGCTCCCAAATAGGAGCTTGAGAGAGTGCCTGGCATATAATAGTGCTCCATAAGTAATATTGAATAAAAGGATTCAGTGGCTAGATGAAAATTCATGTTTGGTTTCCCGGTTGGACTGCCTCTTGTACCTGATATCTTGATGACAATGACGTTGATAAATAATACTTTAAAGCAATACTATGTGCCAGGTACTATTCTAAGCCTATTCTAACATATTTACACATGCTACCTAATTTAATTGCCATGACAACTGATGAGGTTGGTACTGTTATTATCCCCATTTTATAGGGAATAAAACTGAGCCAGAGAAGTTGAATAACTTGCTCAAGGTCGTGCAACTAAGTTGTAAAACAGGAATCAAACCTGGGTAGTCTGGTTTGAGCCTATCTACTTAACCATATACTCTACTGACTCTTGAGATTGCCACAGATAGATTAATCACTTAACTCATTCACTCATTCATTATTTTATTCATTCATTCATTCATTCATTCATTCATTCATTCATTCAATGAATATTTACTGATACCTAGTGTATTCTAGGCAGGGGGATATAAGAGTGAATGAGGTGGGCAAGATCTGTCATGGAGCTGATATTTAGCAGGTGAAGCCCCCTTATCCAACTCCCATGAGAGTCATGCATGCCTCAGAAAGATAAGAAGGAAAAATGAACCCTTGGAGGCAATCCCAAAGCATCGTTTCAGAGGAAGGGAGAGTGGTATCTTTCTTGGTGAGACATAATTTGATTCTAGCCTTTCCTGTCCTGGTGTTTGTAAGGGGTACATAAGTGGTCAAAGTGAATGCAGTCTGGTCTCCTGGGCAGGAGATGCAGGCCCTGGGCCTGGTTATCACAGATTGTCTTAATTTTTGTTCAAAGAGGAAATAAGGCTTTGAGCTTGGGACCAGTGCTCCTTAGTCCAAGGAGACTTCTAGGCCATGAGGAGCAGTGACATGTTAAGCTCAAGATGGACTTGTGAGGTCCTGAGTAAAGTTCGCCTTCCCAAGACAGAGTCACAGTCTCCTCCTAAACTGCCGCTGTTCTGGAGGCTCTTCTATCTCTTTGGCGCTAGCAGGACCCTTGGCCATTGTCCCAATCTATATAATCTTAGCTGAGCTGCGGCCCTTCTCTGTCCGGACCTGTTGGAGTGGATCTCACATCCATACCTGGGCCTTAGCAACGCAGCTTTCTCTATGTTGGAAAATGAAGGCTTAGGTGGAAGGCATTTTCCAAAGCCTGTGCCACGGATATTAATAGGTCTTTTTTCCTATGGTGGCAGTGGTGAGATGGTCAAATAAGTGTGTTGGGCTAAACAAAGCCAAACAGCTTTCTTTACTAAGGGACTCTCTGGTGTTTAGAATCTGTAGAAATTGTGCATGAATCCCCATAAGGGATTATGGTATGTAGTATTTTCCAAGCCTTCTGACCTTGTATGTTCTACACACTACACTTTGGAAAGTGCTTGTTTAGACTGAGGCTATCCATGGTCTGGTGACAGGTGCAGAATAGAATTCCCTGAACTGGATCCGGGTAGATTCTCAGATGCATGGGCTAGGATGCTCCCACTGCAGCCCCCGTTGTACCTCCCCCTCCCCAAAACATGTCAGCAGAAGGAATCATTTGCCCCTCCTCCCTTCTGGCAGAACAGTACTAAGGACCTGGACCTTTTCCCCCTATGCTTTAAGATAATTTAATTATTTATTGAATACATATTACCCTCCCTCTAGGTTGCTTGTAGCTTGCTGATCGCGCTGTTTATGAAACAACTGTGAGGACAGGTGGGTTGTAATCTCTGGGTAGCTCAAGCCCAGCAGTAGCCCGAGGATCATGTGTCAACCCTGTAATCCTGCTCTGCGCACACAGGAATCATTATGTGGGCACAGGAAGGCACAATCTCACGATTGGACATGAGGAGGTGACTCAGGCTTAAGTCGGGGCTAGCGCTAGCCTCCTGGTAAACAACTGACCCATCCTTTCTGGGCTCTTGTCCCCAGGATTTCAACAGCATCACAGAAATAGCCATTTTGCTCACTGTTATTTCCCAGACCCACACCATTTGTCTAAGTCACTGTATCGGTCCTGAGCCTTGCTTTCAGAGGACTGCTTCTGTAGCTCACTTGAGGCAGTGCCACCGTCCCCAGGGAGGGCAGCAGCTGTGGTGGCAGGGGGGTCAAGCGCAACCAGTGCTCAGGAGGCTCCTCAGAGCTGGAGACCCACGTGGGAGTCAGAGCGGCAGTAAGAGGAAGAGGACGGTGTGGGTAGGCTCAGGTGGGTCAGAAGGGACAGCCTTCTTTTCTGAGTTGTGTGTGCGTGTGTGCGTGTGTGCGGGTGTGTGTGCGCGCATGTGCGGGGGTGTGTGTGCGCGCATGTGCGGGGGTGTGCGTGCGCATGTGCGAGGGGGTGTGCGTGCGCGCATGCGGGTGTGCTCGTGTCCGGGTGTGTGTGCGTGCGCGCGCGGGTGTGTGTGTGTGTGTGTGTGTGTGCGCGCGGGGTGTGTGTGCGCGTGTGCGGGTGTGTGTGTGTGTGCGCGAGCACCCGTGCACTAAGGCATTCATGCTCTGGTAGAGCCTGTCAGGCTGCCCGGCACTTGTGATGTCAGCTTCCTTCAGGGAAGAAAGGAAGGAGAGGGACGAGACATGCCAGCTTTTTATCCTAAGCCTGCTCCTCTACCGAGGAGTCTCCTCTCCCTGAGTCTCCGTCCTTGGCTCTTTTAGAGGAGGAGGGGAAGGAGGAACTCTATTGGCAACTGGGCTCAGCGCCTCCCCTGTCAGTCCTGGGGTACCTTCAGGGAGGTTGCTTTGGGGGGCCTTCTGAGGGAAGGCAAGGCAGGTTGTGCTGTAGACAATCCCCTTGGTGAAGTGAACCTGGTTGTCAGGCCAGGCCTGAGGTGGGGTTCAAAAGGAAGCAGCCAAGGCGATGGTATGGCCCGTTCCTGCTTGGCTGTCAGGGGTCTGGTCATTAGAGGGAAGCTGTGGCTTATCTTCTGTGCGCGGTCAGGAAGGCTGACTAGTACTGTTGTGTTGGGGCCAGCAGCGGCTTTAGTTTCTTGCTTTGGAGAGGGCTATGAACAGGGCCAGGACACTGCATTCAGCACACGGCAGCTGCGGATAGTTGGCATTACCTGGGCCCTTTAGGACCTTTGGAAATTTTCCACTTATATTTCATATTCATGGAAGAATTTCCAGCCCAGACGTTTCCTGCTCTTGCTCAAGGCTGCTCACAGATATGCAAAGCAGAGACCTCCCAGCCCAGCTGCGGCAGGCAGGACCCAGCTAGCTGCACTCACACTGACTCAGCTCAGCCTCCCGGGCGTACACGGCCCATGGCCTGAGTGCGTTGCCTGTGTGGCATCCTCAGGATCAGCCATGGAGACTCCAGCACCAGGCTCAGGTCTGTGTCATGGGTTCTGACAGTGGGAGTGTGGCAAGAGCAAGAAACAGCTTCATTTGCGTCGGGGGGGGATTTAAGTAGTCCTGTGCTTCCTTTCTGGAGGGGTTATGGTGCCTTGAAAAGCTACTGTTTGTTGGAACTGGTGGCATTTTATAGCTTTCTAACTTTGAGACACTTCTTCAAGCCCATCAGAGGATATCGTTTGTAGTAATGAGATAAGCTATACCTTAGCCAACTGAATTTACAGTTAAGCCTCCCAAGCCGGCTGGCTTCAGCTGACAAACGGTTGACGAACGGTTGAAAGCCAGGCTTGAAGAAGCAGCTGGAGCTGAGGCTTGGCATCGACAGAGCTGACTTTCCTGGGCATGCCTGCCCTGCCAGATGTCTCCAGGTCTGAGAAGAGAGACGAGCTGTGGAGGGAGGGTTTGGCCAGTGGGAGCTGTCTGCGAAGGATGTCCAGAAGACAGGGGTATAACAGGCTCCTAAGGCCCACTGACTTAGCCCAGCACCCCACCTGGGTTATTTGGTCCATACTAAGGTGTGGAATGAAGTCTCCCCCACTTATTTAAGACACTGGTAGTAATTCTGCAGGAGATTGATATGGGTTCCACAACAAAAGCGATCTAGATGGGGAAATGCTAGTCTATGATCCTGTTCTCAGGTCTTTGATGTGTCTTGGGAATCTGGGGTGAGGAACTATGGGATGGGGCATCTCCCTGGTAATTGACCACAAGACCTGTTTCACCAGCAACAAGCATCAACTTTTCATGGGACCCACTTGGAAAACGCTGATTTAAACTATTTAAAGAAAAAGGAAGATCTTCTGTAGAAAGATGAATTCAGGAAAGTATGTTTAGTTGACTTCAGCAAGGTAAAAATGCTTCATGGAAGGATCTGGCATAAGAGCCCTCAGACACGAAGAGCCCCCCACCCCATGCCCATTTCTGAGGAGGCCTGGTGGGCTGTGGCCGGGGTTTGGGCCTGTGTGTGTTTGTAGGGGTAAGGGCTAGGGGGTAGGAAGGTGGTGGTGGGCAGTTTCTGCCCAGGGCAAGAGCGAACACAGAGATGGATCTCAATGGTGTAATTCCCTTGGCTGGCCTGTCTCTGATGTGGGTTAGGTGGGAGAGGACCCTAATTACCAAAACCTGGGATGTAGAAGTTCGATTTTTTTCCTATTTTCCTTTCTTTTTAAAAAAACTCTTTAGTCTATTTTCTTTCTATCTTCTTTGTGTTTGCTAAAGTGACATTTATAACAGCATTAGGGGCACGTAGGTGGCTTAGTTGGTTAAGCCTCTGATTCTTGGTTTTGGTTCAGGTCATGATCTCAGGGTCCTGGGATCGAGTCCCCTCATTAGGCTCCCTGCTCAGCGGGGAGTCTGCTTCTCCCTTTCCCTCTGCCCCTCCCCTATCTCGTGCTCTCTCTCTCTCTCTCTCTCTCTCTTTAAAATACATAAGTAAATCTTTTAAACAATGACATTATAACAGCATTAATGATCAAAATCAGGTATTGTTGCCTCGCACACAGGCAATCCTGCCACCTGGTCATTTGAGTGTCTCTCATGCAGCCCTTATCCTTAAGGGGATGCATTTTCATATCACTGTAATCAAAGCATGGGTACAGTTTTATGTATTAATTTTTTCATTTACTGTCATTTCATAGTATTTTTTATGTGATTGCACTGTCCTCATAATTGTAATTTTGGTTGCTTAACTGTTTTTTTTCAAGTGAGCGTGCTCTCATTTGGACATTTTATTTTATTTTATTTTTTTAAAGATTTTATTTATTTCATTTGAGAGAGAGAATGAGAGAGAGAGAGCACATGAGGGGGGGAGGGTCAGAGGGAGAAGCAGACTCCCTGCTGAGCAGGGAGCCCGATGCGGGACTCGATCCCGGAACTCCAGGATCATGACCTGAGCCGAAGGCAGTCGCTTAACCAACTGAGCCACCCAGGCGCCCTCATTTGGACATTTTAAGGCTATATATTAAATAGTGCAGGGAAACATCTTTGTGCTTTTCCTTCCTTCAGATTCTTTTGTTAGAAGCCATTTCTGGAAGTGGGTTTACTCTGTCAAATGGTATGGATGCTTTATGGCACTGGCTGCCCCTTGCCTGGGGCCGGTTTGATGTCTACTTCGGACATCAACCCCGTGAGATTTTGGATGCTATACTTGACCCGCAGCCTTTGGGTTGGGGGGACAGGGGTCCAGCTTTGTTCTCACCTAACAGCTCCTCCGGGCTCTAGTTCTTTGTCTTCCTCTTCATTTCTCTCCCTGTCACCTTCCTCTCCGAGCCCCGTTGTGATGGTTTCCAGCTTCCCCTTCTGTCCACTATCAGGATGTGGACATCTTCATGGTTAGCTCCAGTCCTCTTCCTCTGAGCAGGTCAGGCCTTTGCTGTCTTGCTCTCTGCTGCCACAGACCAGCACAGTTGTGGGCCAACTTCCTTCCTCCTCAGCAGTGCCCTCCCACTGAACCCCCTGGAGTGGAGAGAGGCCCAGGAAAGGCATGGCCCTGGGGGTGGGGGGAAGGAGGAAATTGGTTTCACAGATGTACTTTGACAGGTGTTATTGGCCTCCTTTCTTCCTTCCTGTCTATGTCATGAATTAGCCCATGGGCCGCAGAAAATACCAGAGCAGCAAGCCTCCCTAGGCATTGGAAACCTCTCTGGTACCTAGAAATTACAGCACTTAGAACTGAGAGGGCCTTGGAGACTGCTTAGTCTCCTCCCTTTATCTCACAGAGTAGAAAACTCTGACGCCCAGAGAGTGACTGTCCTAAGGTTGCTCAGTGAGCCCCTCCTCCCCTGTAATTGCTTCCTCTCCTGGCTACACAGCAAATGGGCCCTGCCTTACCTTCATCCTCATCTCTCAGCTGACTAAACCACCTTTCTCTTTAAACCTTCCTCAAAGAAACTGTGGTAATAGGTACACAGGACACTCCTCATCAGGGCTGCTCCTAGAGAAGGGGGCTCGTTGACAGGCTGCAGTGTTCACCCAGTCCATAAATGTGATGCTGGGGACAGCGAGGAGACCTGCCCTGACACCCAAAAGGACAAAGAGAAGCACCACGGTGCAGTGGTTAAGAAGACAGACATGGGAACCAGGTCTGTGGGTTCAAATCCCTGAGCAGAGGCTTATAGAGGAAAGGGCCGGGGGGTGGGGGGCAAAGGCTGAGAACAGCACAAGTCTCTGCCCACTTAATAAAGGTGTGACCCAGGGACGTTAGCTCTCTGTGCCTTTACTTTCTCATCTGTAAAATGTGAATATTCACATAAGTAGAAAGGGCTTGGCAGAGTGTACTTAATAAGTCTTATATAAATGTTGAAAGAAAGACAGACAGAAAGAAAAGAAAGGAACCAACCAGGTAATTTAAGCCAGCTACTGATAGTAGGAAGCAGTTTGAAGAGAGGTGGATAGGGCAAGCTTCTTTGAGGAAGTAAGTTTTCAGCTGGGCTGTGAAAGGTAAGGAGTATCCCTGCCTCTACACCTTTCTTTTATTTGCTGTGTCTTGTTCAAAGTTCCAGAAAGTCTGGTAGATGGTAGAACCATGATGGTAGACTCCTTCTTTTCAGAAAAAGGCCTTGTTTTATGTGAGGAAGAATGAAGCTTTGGATTCCCCAGAGCCCTGCGCTCA